AAAAAGAGGTATTTTCTTCCCCCTTTTTTTTTGAAAGATTAAGGAAACTCAGGCTCTGAGAGTTTGAGTCACATAGCTACTGAGCATTTTCAAAGAGTTGACTCATGGACTCAGACTCTCAACTCCAAAGCCAGTGCTCTTTAGATATTCCCAGTGTTAGAAGTTTTATTACTTGGTGGACAGTAAAATGGAAGGAAAAAAAGCTACCATAGCCACTGATTTTTTGTATTGTTAACTGTTTACCTAAAAAATATTTTTAATCATTTGAAATTCCTAGATAATAAGGTTGAAAATGGCCCTTGTTCTGCTTATTGTATTTCAGTCGTTTTTATTTAGAGATCTTTGAAATTGAGTCTTTACATAGATTAAGAGAAAAATGTATTTGCTGAAGTCAGGGCTCAGGTATCTCAGCATTTCCTCTTTGACGTTTTTTTTTTTTTAACTTAGTTTTGAAGTGTGAATATATGTGTTTCCTCTCTGGTATAGTTATAACTCCCTATAGAAAAGATAGTGTCTTGCTAAAGCAGATAGATAATGGGTCACATACTTTGAGTCACTTTGATGTACTACTTTCATACACTTAGATATTAAATGACAGACTATTTGCTATATAAAGTCAGTGAAAAAATCTGTTTTGTTCAATAGTTCTAAAGGTCTACAAGGAGTAAAACATTATATTTGGATGACTGAAATAAATTTCAATATAAACAGCACTTCAATCTTCCAAAGAATTGGTTCGTTGGCTCTATATTTAGAATGGTAGATTATATTGGCTACAAATACGTTGTTAGAAAATTGGTTTTTAAATCCTTTTTGTTGGGCAGAAGAGACTAGGAGATCAAAGCTGGATAAAATTTAGTATTTCTTTATAATTTTAAATTTTCAGTTGCCTCTTGATGCCTTTGTATTTCTTAGTCTATAGCCTTGAAATGATTCTATCAATAGTGTTTTCGGGGCCTGATAGGTTAGTGTGCTGGTTAAGGTAACTGGATCCAACATGGCTGACTATGCGTTGGAGTCCTAGATTGTGTGGCTTGAAAAATCACTCCAACTGGAAGTGTTTGCATACCCAAAATCCCGAGAGAATGAATGAGAAGGAATTGCAGCATGGACATTCCTTCTAGTGCGTGATTTCTCACTTACCCTCTCTCTTTCTGGCAAGCATATGAACTCTATAGCAAACAGATTAACAATAACAAAAAGACATTTTCCTTAGGTTCTGAATCTCCTCAATTTTATTCCATTCTAAAATAGAAGTGCAGTGATCATATCCTCCAATATTTACAAATGGCTGTTGTTGCTCTGAAGTTCTTGATCAGCTAAATTTTACAGATTTGACTCTTAATCTCTATGCCTGTTATTCAGGGTTTTGAGATTAATTGTTGCCATTTCTAAAAACTCTTCAGTTTATAGATAACATCCCAGTTGTAGTATTCCAAAACAAAAAGTATTCATATTTTTAATATCACTGTCTAAATTTTTTATTTTAAAATTCTAAACTATTTAAATTTTTCTGTTGTATAGAGATTAAACTCAAATGGCTTCTTCTTCTTCTTCTTCTTCTTTTTTTTTTTTTTTTGTAAAAGTGATTGTGAATTGCTACCTCAGTGTATCTTAACAGGTTTTAAAGACTTTTGGTCCATTTATTTTATTTCATAAGTCCTTTTTACTCTCCCAAGATTTACTATTAACTGCAGATACATTATTTTTTCACTTTTACATTTGACTTATAAGAAAGATTTCCTCATTATGCTGTGAAAATGCTAGAACTTCATAACTAAAGTCGTGTGACTCAAAACAATTATGTAGTATATAATTTGATTCAAATTAAGTATTTATATTTCTGAAGTCAAGGGATCTGAAATTCTTGTCAGGGGATCTGAAGTATTTTTAAAGACTGTCATCCTTATAAGTATTTTGTTAATACCCTTTAATGAATTTTTAATTCCAGACTTGCAGAATAACTTCCAGGTTTACTCTTTTTTTTCCCCATAGGTTTTTGCTATAGGGTGTGTGCATTTGCCAGAGAGAGACAGAAATCACTCTCTTGGGGGAGATGGCCATATCCCAGTACCTTCTCCTCCATTCTCCTCTCAGGATTTTTGGCACACACACACATGCATCCAGTGTGATTTTCAAGCCACCCAATCCAGGACTGGAACTGCACATTTGGCCATGTGGGATCCATAGCTTTAACCTCCATGCCACCTGCTGGTTCCAAGGTTTACTCTTTTTTGTTCTCTCATATTTATTACTTTCTTCTTTGAATCACTTCATTTACTTCATTTACTTATTTATTTTTAAGTTTGCTATAGGCACATGTACTCACCAAAGAGAGAGACACACAGAGGGGGGCGTGGGGGAGATGAGAAAGCAAGCCAGGTTCAGGACTCAGACTGCAGTCTGCTATGTGGGAATCCAATGTCTTAACCATTATACCACTTGCTGTCCTGAGCCACTTCTTTTAAACTTGAGTTCTCCAAGCAGACCTGTAAGTATAGCAAAACTATTGGGTCATCAGAAAATTCATGACATAGTTTTCTGTGCCAAAGTGGGTCATGACTTTTCCACCAACCAAATAGTTCTCTTATAGCAAACTATAATGGGACCTTGGCAGGCGTGAAGTTAACAAAGAAGTCAAAACGACTTTCCTTTTTACTTTTTTTTTTTTTTTTAATTTTTACTGTATGATGCGTACACTCACCAGAGAGAGAGAGAGAAGGAAAGTGAAAAAAGCATCCCTAGCAGGGCATAGCCATGCTACAGTTTCTTCTCCATTCTCCGCTTAGAGTTTTGGGCACGCGCAAACACACGTGTGTCTGGCAAGTTTTTCAAGCAGCTGGGTCTGGAACTCATCTTTGACCTTGTGAGGATGCAGTCCTCTTAACCACCACACAGCCGGCTAGCCGTGACATTTCAGTTAGTTCAGTTGATTTTAATTTGATTTGGCACATGATTTCTAAGTACAATGAAAAAAGTGTCCTGATGAGTGTATATCTTGAGAAAGATGTAAGCAGTTTAAATAATCACTAGTTAGAAGCCTCTTAAGGTTTGTTATTAACAGGTCTAATCAGTGCCTTTCATTGCCTTAGACCTGCTAATCAAATAGTAGAGAAAGAGTTTAAAAAAAATAAAGAAGTTGAAATAGGGCAGAAGTATATATATTAAAGATTTCTCGTTAATTGAACCAACTGCATGATGATACTGTGGCATCTTGCATCTCTCTGCCTTTTCTAGTCTTGGATTATCTAAGATACCTACTGGTTAAAATTTAAAATGCCTTCTGAAAATGATTTATTTAAATCTAATACATAATATTACTTAATCTGAGTTTTGAAATCATGAAATTATATTGTGTGTTTTTTATTTGATGATCATTGATACTTTATTGCTATTTCAGAAGGAAATAGTTTCCTTATTATACTAATAATTTTGCAGAGCTTTCTTATTAGGGCCTCAGAATTGCCATGTTGTATGCAAACCTCATTTGGTAGGTAAAATGATAGCCATTGAGCATTATGTGCCAGGATCTTTCTATACAGTCTTAATTCTTCAGCCCTTCTGCAGCACTCATCTGTAATGATCACCATTTAACAGATCAAGAGACAGACCTAGAGAGGTCAAAATTTAACTCTGCTATGTGTTTAGTGTAGTGGTTTAAGAGCATAAACTCCAGGATCAGATTGCCCTCTACTATCTGTGTGACCTCAGGCAAATTACTTCTCTCTGACCCAGTTTTCTCATTCCTGAGATGAGAATAATAATAGCACCTATCTTGTAAGTAAAGCTGTTGTGAGAATTGAATTAACAAATGTAAAGCACTTAGGATGGTGTCACATACATAATCACAATCTTAGTTTGTTGCATTAACTCCAGGATCAGATTGCCCTCTACTATCTGTGTGACCTCAGGCAAATTACTTCTCTCTGACCCAGTTTTCTCATTCCTGAGATGAGAATAATAATAGCACCTATCTTGTAAGTAAAGCTGTTGTGAGAATTGAATTAACAAATGTAAAGCACTTAGTAGGATGATGTCAGATACATAATCACAATCTTAGTTTGTTGCATTTATTCTGCCATAGCATGAGTCAGGAATTTTAAAAGTGGTGTGGCATACTTTTGGTAGCTCCCAAACATACAGGTTCAAGCTTGGGGAAGACTATAGAAATAGTCTGAAGAGGAGAGAGAACTCTTAGGGGGCAGGTTTGTCAAAAGTTCAACTTCCCAAGAAATGTTCCTGATTTAAGGGATGAATCATGTTGGGAGCTTGCCCAGATTAGTCCATCGGTTAAGGTACTATGGTGATAGCCCTAGGGAATGTGTCCCTAAGGAATGGTAGATATGAATGATAAGTATGGTGAGTAAGCTTTTACACCTTAAAGGGGCACTGTACTGATGTAAGAAGTTACAAAGCTGCCATAAAACTGCAGAACCATTTTTTTTTTTTGCCCTAGCCCAGAGAAAACACATATAAATAAGTTGATTCCATAGATGGAGATGTGTCAAGTACAACCCAGGAAAGGACTCTTCATTTTCAAATTCTTTCCACTTTCAATAGATACTAAGAATGTTTATATTGCACATGTAAATATTTTTACATGAATACTCAAAGAACAGCATTATGAAACCATGGAACCAGTAGACATTAATAAATGCATCTGGTACAGAGTAGTGTTGACTAGACTCTGAACTAATCACATATATTTGTAAATACATACACAGAGACAGACATGGACACTGATGCTAGTTAGTATTTAATTTTTACCTGTATTGCCCCTTTATTTTGGAACTGTGATCCTGAATTATTGTTGGGGGTCTGCTGGATTTTATCCAGTTCTTAATTTCAAAGTATTGTTTTAAGCCAGCTTATGTGTCCCCCCCTTTTTTTAAAATTAAAGCAGTTATCCTGTAATCTAAACTCTTCCATCTTTTTTTGAAAAGTAGTGATTTTACTGTACATTCTCAACCTCATTTCCATTTGATTCTCGGATCTCACAGGAATCCTTCAACTGCTTTCTACCAAGCGTTCCATTTGAACACGTTTCAGGAATCAAAGAGCCTCTGGGATAGGTATGAATACTTACATATGGAATGCATACATGCCAAAGTGTATGCATGAATTGCTTTGCACTGTACTAGTTTCTCATCATTAAAACTGGTTTTTATTTGTTATTTGAGGGGGGGGGGAAGTCATGTGGTATCTAGCATGAGACAAAGCAGCAAAATAAACCAAAAGGATAATAAACATTTTATGTAGAATATAAACATACTTTCTTTTTACTGCATTTCGTGCACTTTTAAGTATTTTTTAAATAATTTAACTTTCTATTGAATTTTATAGTATAAAATTTGTAGTTTTACCTAGTGTGTTTTAGTGCAAAAATATATCAAATAAACTAGTTATTTTCATTTTTGTGCTATTTTACATAGTTTCTCTGTAAAAGCTGTACTGACTCAAAGCAAAATATTATTTCAAATTTTAAAATTGAAGGAGGGACAAGACCAAGGTATCAAAGTAGTCATTATTTAATATTTGGCAAGAAACTTTAACATCAGGGTTTTTTTTGTTTTTGCTAGCCTCTACATCTGTATTACTGATTTGTAAGCCCACCCTTGAAACAGTTGGTTTTCTCACAAAAATGTATAGACTTTATTTTTAACGTTTTAAAATATAGAATGAAGTAAGTCTTGGAGTTTATGGCAAAAGATACTTTGGTTTATCTTTCTGCTTAATGCATATTTTAAGTAGTATATGCTCTGTTTAGTTATTTTGCTGAATATTATTAGCACTCCATCATTCTGTGTTTAATTAATAGAAGTTGAGTGCAAACAGTGTTTTTAAAATGCACACAAAGCTTGTTAGATTCTTTTAACACTGCCTGGCAACGCATTTATGTCTTTTGGCATAGTTTTAGATAACACTCATGGACTCAATTCCATCTCTTTCATTAGAAAAGAGTATGCTAAGTGCATGCACATGCCCTTTTAAGACATGGTCTACATTGCATAGAAATTGTTAAAAAAAAAAAAAAATCTCTTAATTCTTAGACTTGATTTGCTTGTGTGTGTCACTCTGAAATTTTCTAACAAAGGGTTTTTTTGATGATGTGTTTCTTAACCAAAATTGTTATAGAACTGTTACTGTTAGGAATTGTAAAGATCTGTAGTACCATATTTATAAATCAGTTTTTAAATAATTCTGCTATGTCAGTTATGGCATGAAACGAGCATGAAAGTTTAATCATCAAATATTTTACCAAATGTAGCCAGAGTATGAGTACTTTGGGATGTACTTTATAATTTTCCCTGAGAAAAAGGAAAAATAGCACTCTGTTTAGAAATGTGATAAGAGTAGTTTTTAGGTGTATGGTAATTTATTTCGGGTAGCTAACTTTTGTGAGCTGCAGTGATGTGGATATGAAAGATATACAATCATGTGCCACATAACATTTAGATCAATAAGGAACCACCTATACAACGGCAGTCCTGTTAATTATAATAGGCTACTCCATATAGCCTAAGCATGTAATGGGTGTACTATCTAGGTTTGTGTAAGTATATTCTATGATGTTTGCACAGTGACAAAATCGTCTAATGACACGTTTCTCAGAACATATTTCCATCCATAAGCGGCGAATACTATATGTTATTTCCATCAAAACAGGGTAGAAAGATTTGAGTTTTATTTTTTAAAATTGGGATGTAATATTAAAAGGTGTCTTTTATTTCATTATAAAACAACCATATAAGTTACTTGCTCATTTGTTGTTACAGCTAAATACTCCTTATCTGTTTTCTTTTTTAGATACCAGAAACTTTTAAGGTATCAGAAATGAGGCAAGTTGCTGTATCTGTAGTTTTTCATGAGTTGAAAATATTTTCTCTTCTCCTTGGAACCTGTTGTCCAGAGCCAAAGAAGTTAATGGATACTTGTCTATAGTGTGTTAAAGCCAAAATACAATCAGAATTTACAATAGATCAGCCATTCTTCACTGTAAGTTTGCCTTTTGGTGCCAAGGTGACAAGCCCAGCCAGTAGAAACTGACTAGTGGCTTTCTTTTAGCTTTTCAACCAGCTTATTAATTTTTGATTGGAAGGAGCAATAGTGGCTAGCTTTAGTACTCAGTAAATTTCAATTGGTAAAGATCCATAGACTTTTTTTAGTAGGTAACTTCAGTTGGTAAATACCAATAGACTTTTGTTAGTAGGTATGTCAGCTGACAAAGTATTGTAGGACTGTTACTTATTTGCAGACAGGTTCAAGATTGGTGTGTGTTTAGCTTTAAAAAATATTAATTATAACTTCTGCCCATATTTGTTTGAATCTCACCAAGTTACCTTGTTAGTTTTTAATTTTATATATATTTATTTTTTACTCTAATTAGGCAACTAAGTATTGTGTAGGGGCAATTCTGCTATAAAATGGGACTGTTCAGGAATTTAAGAGATTCTTAAGTTCCTTCAGTTGCCTACTACATTATCTACTACATTATCAACTTATTTTGAGACTTATATTTGTTTATGACTATGGCTAAATACCATTCACAAGGACTTCAAAAAGTTTGTGAAAAATGGAATTAGAAGACAAAGTTATTGGTACAAATTTGAAACCCACACATAGCTTTTTTTACAGTACACATTTTTCATTAGCTTTTGGGAGACCCTTTATATTGCGTGTTCCTATCTGTGAAATCTTAGGAATCATTTTCAGGTAGGGAGGATTTTAAGCCCCATGCCAGTTTTTTTTATTAAACTGAACATGTTTGATTTTGCTTTTCTTAAAAAACTGGAGTCTCTTGTTTTTCCAGGATTCTTTGAATTTAGCAGAGTATCTTTTAATCAGAATATAAATACATACCTTTCTCACTTTGACTTAAAAATTTTCTATTATTATCTTTGTTTTCTTTTCTATTTAAATTAAAATTAGTAAGTGGAGAGGCTTTTCATGAACCAGTTTGCTTCTGCCTATATTTAGGTGTTCTTTCCTTGCATTGATATCTGTTGCTTTGCTCGTTTATGATATTAAAATTAAAGGTACTCTCAGGCGTACCTTTCCCTTTTCCTGGAGGTGCCATTTTAGTTGGTCTTCCCTGTTTATCATTTGCAGTCTTCTCATGGAATCAAACAATCAAACAACGAAACAGTCTTCAAATGCAGGAATACAGATAGCTGGAAAACAATCCAGCTCTTTCTTTGGAAGTCTAAACTGTTAGTTTATTAAAATAAATAATGTAGCTTCCATGATTAGCTTCTTGAAGATTATCGTACTCTGACAAAATCAATTTTTAGTGATAGTCTAGCCAGTTGGCATGTCAAAGAAGTAACTTTAAAATTTGTCTATTTTCCTTATTTTATGAACAGTTTTCTGGGTAGGCTCTGTGGCCTGATGATTTAGGCAGCTGAATCCCACATGATCAACCAGCACAGCTCAAATCCCAGCCCCAGCAACTTGAAAAACATACTGGGTGCATACACATACGTGCTTAAAATCTCTACAGGATGGAGAAATAGAGGAGAAGGGATTGTTTTGAGACCATGCCCCACAATTGAGGGTTGCTTTCTTTAACTTTCCATCTAGTGAATGCATATGCCCTCTGACAAATTAAACAGACAATAAACTACAGCTTTCCCAAGTTAATTCTTGGCATTGCTTTGTTTAATAGAATTAGTTTAGAATCCTATCTTGATAATCGATGAGGGAGAAGGCTGTCCTTGAGAATCCTTCATCTGCAAAAGCTTAGTGTAAGAATTTATAGCAAACAATTTTACTTTCCTCCAAGTATCATGTCAGTAAGATGAAAGAGTATCGGGACCAGTAGTTAGCGTAATGGCTATGTCGCTGGACTCCCATGTAGTCGACTGCGGTTCAAGTCCTGGGTCCGGTGACTTAAAACACACGCCGGGCACATGTGCGTGCGTGCCCAAGATCCTGAGAGGAGAATGGAGGAGAAGGGATTGCAGCATGGCCATCCCCCTGGGGGTGATTTCGCGCTTTCTATCTCTCTCTCTCTGCGAGCGCATGCGCCCTATGGCAAAAACTTCTCCAAAAAAAGAAAAAAATAATAATAAGATGAAAGAGTATTGAAGGAAAGAAACTTTAGTTCAGGTAGACTAACAGGAGAAATCAGGTAGCTTTTAAAAATTTAACGTTGTTTGATAAGTACTTGGCAGTGTTTTTGTCCAAATGAAGAAAGTTATAAATGCAGTTAACAATTAAGAGGAACAGTTGTACAAATTTCCTTGGGTCTGCTTGTCCTTCCTTATGACAGCACCAGTATTTAAACAGAAATTAATAAAGTAGTAGACATGGATTATTCACTTAAGTAATTTATGGTAAGTCTTTTACTACATACTGGATGATTTCTGTTAAATTAAGTTTTTGCAGTGATTAATCACTAATGTCTACTTACACCTGGTTTGAAAATTATTGAAAAATAATTATTAATATATAATTAATTATAATTATTTAAATAACCTTTAGTATTTTGTGCAGGAAAAGATTTCTAGTAGTTCCTATCATTGTACCATTTGGAAGCCAGGAATCAAGTAGAATTAAGCTTCTTATGTCATAAATACCATTGGTACCATATGAGACATTTGTTTTGTTTGTCCTCTAAGAAACCGGAGTCTATCATGGTTAACATCCACTACTACTTGTTAACCTAAATGGTAAAACAGATTTTACAACTAGACTAATATTTTTTTGCTTATTTTTAAATTGCTATAGGGTGCATATGTACTTGGAGTGAGGAGGTGCTTTCTCTCGGTGGGGCATGGGCATGGGCATGGTCATGCGCATTCCTCTCTCTCCCATGTCTCCATCCTCTCAGGGTTTTGGATGCATATGTGCCCAATGATGTTTCTCAAGCTGCTAGAACTGAGATTTGAACTGCAGTTCGCTATGGGGGATCTAGCTCCCTTAATAGTAGGCTAGGGGGCCAGCCCAGTAATTGGACTTTTTAAAAATCGTTTTATTGATGTATAAATTCTGTCAGGAAAGTGCACCATTCATAAATGTACAGCTCAAATTGAATGCATCTATGTAACTAACACTCAGATGAAAACACAGA